GTGTGAAGCCGGCACTTCAGCCAGTTTTTCCCATGAGAAAATAGAGAGGTGAAGCTCATGTCAGTTCAGCTGTGAGAGAGAGAAGGGGCAGGACACCTGGCTCCAGTGAAGATTCACAGCTCTTACCTGCTTACGGCAAACCCTTGGACTGTGCCCCAGCTGTGCAGTAAGGAACACTGGCTCTGCCACCATTCTTGGGGTTTCTGGGCATCCCAAGGTATAATCCAAATAAAAAGTCTTGAGTTAATCAAGGGTTTCAGGCTTCATAGAAGAGCATGAAAAGTATGATAAGGCCGCCTGCCTGCCTGAGCTGTAGATTCTGCTGGAGAGATGGATTCTTAGTTCTGGGGTTTTTATCTTGTTTTTTCCTCAGGTGCTCTGTCCTTTGTAACTGTTCAACATCAGCTGCAGGACTTTCAAGACACTTCAAGCTCTAGTAATGTGCATCTTCCCAGTAAGTTTGTCAGAAAGATTGCACTTCAATGGCTACATATAAACAAGTTGCTGTCAAGGTCTGTTTTGTGTCTGTGCACCTTAACTTCAAAACTAAGGCTACAAATGTGTTGGGGTGCTTTTTGGATTGTAAGTTCATTATACAGCACTTTACTACTGCTTGATAATTAGCACCTCTGTAGTCCCTTTAGTGTCCTAGGCTTCTTTCTGAAGGATCATTCAGTTGTAAAAAGTATTGTCTTACTGTGCATAAAACGGCTGCTCAGAGCTTTGAGATCTCACTCCATTAAGTGGCCATCTAGCACCACTTACACACCGGGATGGTGAATGCTCTAGGGGTAAAATCCATTTGGATCCATATTGTTACTGTTTCCAAATGCATTCTTTAATACTATAGTACTCTTAACTACATTGTATCTTACAGCTAAAAGATAAGATAGGAAGTTGGGAAGGTGGAGGAAATCCTAGGTGTTGGCTGACCACAGAGGTGAGGGTCATGCTTTAGAATTTGTGAGATATTTAACCTTTAAGCATTCCTCATTTAATTGTAAGAAAGCATCCAGAAATAATGACTGCCGAATTTGTATTTCAAAGTACTAAAGTTAACTTTAATATTGCCACCAGAGGGCAGCATGTTACATGAGCTGGCAATGCAGAACCTGATCTACTCTGATTTTAAGCACAGATGAACTTGTAAAATCTGAGTTTTTAAAAGTATCAGTGATTCGTTTACAAGTTTTTCCTGTTATGTTCAGCTTGTAGCTCAGTCCTCAAATACTTGTCATGGCATTAGCTTTCTAAGAAAGAGAAGTGACATTATTGACATCTGCCAAGTGAAAACTAAATGTAGCTGTTCTAGAACTTGCATTCTGGTGCCCTTAGCTTATTATTGCTCTTGCATACAAATTCCATAAGACAGAGGTATCAAGACCTTATTCCCTTACTTCTTGTGGCTTTTTTACCAGTTATAGAATTCATTCTTCCTGGTTTTGTCTCAAGGGTAGTAAACCTACATTACTTGTTTACTTTGTGTGATAAAATGGATGTTGAAGTTGATTTAATTCTATGTTCAGTGTTTTTAGGATTAATTTATCTTAAATGTAGCATCTGTACTGTTTGGTAGTTCGGGTTTTGTGTTGTTTGGTTTTTTTTTTTTTTGAGGTGAGCATTGTGAGACTTGACTTCTTGATTCCCATGTAGCAGTATGATCTATGGAACTCCTTATACAAATCATCTAAAGTTATTATACTGGTATATTGTGACTCAAAAACCTCCTTTGTTAGCTTAGCAGTAGGTGCAGGCGTGACACGACAGGCAGATCACATCTTACAAGACTTACTTTCCCACTTGTACAGTAATGTAGTTTTCCTCAGCGGGGTATTACTGTTATTTAAGAACCTAGTTATAATGTGAACACAATTGAAAAACATGTTCTGTTAAAACAAATCACTGAGTAACTTGTATACAACCTTTTTTTTTTTTAATGCTGTGGTGCAGATACATTTGGTAGTCTCATGCATAAAAGCATTAGTAATTTGTGATTTAGAAAGATGAAAACAAAGAGTTAAACACTAAATGTAGACATTTTCCTGAAGTTACATTGTTTTCTTTAATTTTCCTGAAATGTAGTCTAGAATTTTCATATTTGGAAGTCTAACGTACTGGAGTCTCTCTTTCCCTTTTATGAGTAATGGAGGTGCTGTGTACTAGGGCCTTGCCATTTTTCAGGTGACTGAGTATAAATCCAGATTGAATCTGGTACTGCCTCTCCTAGGCTAGTGAAAATAAACCTGGACTTGAGCTGATTTGGGGTGGAAGTGCTCGACTATCTTTGTATAGTGTTTTAGTAACAGCAGCATTATGGGAATGTGCAGTGTAACTGCAGTAGGCTTGGTAGGCAGCCAGCTGAGTCCATGTGGGCTTACTGGTCGAGGTCTTGTGTTGTGTGGAAGTGGCTAAACTGCACCTGGATCCAAGTTGGCGTGTGAAGTGCTACAGCTGTGTTCTTCTAGTCCCCTGCACATGGTCTAATAAATCCAAACTGGATTTGAGGGGAAACTGCTCTGTCTTCCTGCATCCATAGCTCAGTTAATCTGCAAATAGGATAAACTTCCCATAAATAATTGAGAATTTATAGTATACTGCATGTTCCAGATAAGAGTTAGAACATGCAGTATTAAAAGAGATTTTTAGAAGTCAATTATACCGAGTTCACCTTCTTGTCCTTGCTAATTGGGGCACCAGCATGCAATGCCAAAATCTGATATGATATTCTTAGTGAGACTGCTGTTTTCAGTAAAGTTCTCAGGTGGTTATTTTGAGTCCGTTTATGCTTTGAAGTGTAAGCTGACTTAAAATACATGGATGCAAGAAACAAATGGAAGTCTCAAGGGATGCAAGTCTCTCTTCATGGCTGATTAGTAGTAATTTTTCAGAATCCATACCAACTGAAGAAAACATGAGATAGACTTATGTGCTATATTCTTGTCCAACCATTGTTTTCAAATAGAAATTATTTCTATGTGACCCAGTGCAGCCTGGCATTTTGCCATGCAGAAGACAACTGAAATGATAAAACTGAGAGGAATGGAATATTTGGATTTTTCAGATCAGTGGTTTCTTAGGCAATATTTTTAATATTAAAATAGACTGTACTGAACTCAGTATGCTTTTTTGCTTCATGCAGTACATGTGTAATAACTATGTTGAAGGTGGGGGGGAGATTGAGTGTTCTTAAATCACACTATGTTTTCCAGTGCATTTTACTATTTTTTTGTGAGGATAGGTGCATTCCTGCAGTGATCTGTTCTTGAGTGTAGCATCCAGAAGATTTTATACTCAGTTGTGTTAATTTGGAGTTTGTAGTCTGAAATTCTAGTTTTGTTGGTCTAAAGTAATTTTTATAGATCTAATAGAATTAATTTAATGAGAATTACAAGACCCTAGGCGTAGTTAGCCAACATCGTCTAGAATTGTTAGAAGTGCCAATTGTTAAGTGCTTGTTTACATGAAGTTATCATAACACATTTTTAAGACTTCCAGTTCTGTTTAATGTCCTGCTAGAGTAGAAGCAAGCAAGTATCCTCACAGATTCCAGCTGTGTGAATTTCCAAAGTTTTTGACTTACATTTTTCAATAGGCCCATGTATGAAGCTATTACAATAATTATTGTGTTATCAGAAACCAAGATAAATTTGAATTATTTTTCTTACGTTGAAACCTTCAATTTCTGAGGAATTTGAATCAATTCGTAGTTGGCCGAAAGCCAATTTTTCTCCTCAATTCTAACGTGTGTTTGAAAAACGAACTCACTTCCTAAGTGCCTTGTGAATCTGCAATGATTAATTCTTCTCATTATTTTGCTGCAAATTCTCATGACCCTCTGTGATGATTCGATCACCCACTTAGAGTTTATGCATATTCATATCTTTCCGTTCCTGCTGCAGTCGTTCAAGTCTCCTTCACTGGCTGTGGTGTGTGCTTGGTGCAGTAATTGAGCTGCAGTAGATTGATTACTCTGGGGAGCTGTAAGGCCTTTAAAGGTGAAAACATATCAGTCCTGTTAATTAGGAAACAAAGCTCTGGTGGCAAGTTCAGCAGTCAAATGCTTCCAGTGTAGAAATGAGGAAAGGTATGATTTGTTCCTCTCCATGAACCCTGTTTACTTTTTTATATTTGAATTAGATCTGTATTTGCTGTAATAGGCTTGTGCAGGAGATAGTATATCTTGTATGATTGCATGGTGTTGGTATTTTAAAACAAAAAGAACTATATGTTTGGTATTGATTATAATTATTAGCTGCTGTTAATCACCTCTTAAATTATACATTATTTTAGGCATTACTTAACCTATAAAGTTAAATAAGAGATGAAGAATGGAATCGTTGATTGTAAACTTCAACCAAAAACATTTATATCATTCACTTTTTCAGACCTGAATGTCAAAGTCTTTTCTCTGTATTAAAACAATAGATTTTCCGAAATCATAATAAAACCTGGGGCTTCACCTTTCTACTATTAAGATGTCTATTGCCTATCATGTGCAAGATTTAATTAAAGAGAATACGTTCTTAAAATTAGGTGAATATTAAATGATAGCATAAGGTTTCATCCCGCAGACAGCATCCTTACATCATCATTTTAAGTACCCCGTGGTTTTATGTTGCTAAGCTCTCTAATCTAGAGTGGCCTATTACAGAGATATTAAGGGTAGGGGAAACCATCTGCCACACAATCTATCCATAAGGGTCAGAAATAAATAATTTAAAAGTAATTTATATATCTTAAAAACCACTTTTACCCTGTAATTACTGGACAACAGATTGTAGAATACAGATGTTATGAAAATGCCACTGTTTTTGTAAACAGCATGTGATCCATTGCTACTTCAGGGTAGGTATAGGATGCTGTTGTCATACCTGTTCCTGCTGAGGTCAGGAAGAAAAGTCTTGCTGAAACAACTGCACATGAGATTGGATGCAATTAGTGCATCTTATACCAAAGGATATCGCATTCATTGTGTTCGTGGGTTTTTTCCTCTATTTTAGGCATTTATTAACACCGCAAAGGAGATCTACGAGAAAATCCAGGAAGGAGTTTTTGACATTAATAATGAGGTAACTTTTAGTACTCTGAACACATTTTGTTTGTTAAATGTACAAAATTCACCTTCCCCAGAAGGCTGGACAGTAAAATATTTGTCTGTTCCATTTGGATATAGAATTGTCTGCCATTGTGATAAAAATGGATTAAAATAAGTGACCCTATCCATCCATGAAGCATCGCAAAATAATATAAATCCCCAAAAGAGAAGAAAATCCACTTTCATCCACTTCTCCATATGGTGTCATCTGTTTTCAAAGATAATTTTCCACTATGTAAATGGGGGACCATGTTGATATGCCAGATGCACTCCATGAGCTGTCCAGTGTAGGGGAGGGATTGCTTTGAGAGTTACATAAAAGACTTTTGAAATGTTCCTGGTTTAGGTGGCTGGGTTCTGTAGGGAATAAAAGATTAGCCATTTTGCCTATGCACATTACTGAAATTACAGATTATTGGGGCCTGTCTCTTTGCTTGTTTGGGGTGGGGGTGGGGAGGTGGAGCAGGGAGCACTTTTGTAATGCAAGAGCCTAGAAAGACCTATAATGTGTCTCTTGAATTTTGAAATTATTATGCTGTCAAAAATCTGGAGCAGTTAGGAGAGGTTCATGGCTGTAGAAAAAGCAGATTCAAATTGAGTGGTAGTAAATAGAAATATTAGGATTTAAATTTGACAATGTGAAGTGGTCAGTCCTTTCTGATGCCCAAGGTTGTTTTTACCCTGCATGTCCCTAAATATCATTGCTGAGGTGCTTAGTGAAACTACATGTGAATATCTGCACCGCCACTATCTGTTCTGTTCTGTGAATAGGTGCATTCTCTGTTTGGGACTGTCTGATGCTTCTCTTAAGTGTGATAGTCCTTGCAGAATTGTTCAAAGAGTCATGAGGGAATTGGCAGGACTCAATTAAATAGCTTCACCTCCTTCTGCTTAATATGTTTCAATATGAAGAAATTTAGACTATTAAAAATATTGCTTTTATGACTCTAGAGAGGAAAGAATGAGAACCTCCAGTAGTATGCAAAGTATTTGCATTAGGAAACTTGTAGCTGAATAAGACTTGAATAGTAATCTTTCAAAGACACTAATTCTGACTGGAAAAATGTATGTGTGTATATATGGTGTTTTGGTGAGACACTTTTTATATTCAGTTTAGTGATGAAAAGTTTTAAATTTTCTTTAACATTTTTCCTAAAGAAATTGTACTCAGTAGTGCAATATAAATTGGACAGTAATCAGAGTGTCTGAAAAAGCATGCTCATTGTATCTGTCGAGTTTCATATAGTAGCTGACTGCTTTACTGTGCCTTATGGAGCTTTGATTGCAATATGCTGTCAAGAGCCAACAGTCCATGCTATTTATTTGGCTTTATGCCAAGTCTGGCTCCTTGATTCCTCAAGAAGTTGCTATCAGCCCAGAGGGGGCAAAACCAATGAGCCATAGGGCATGCTTTTTATTAAAGAGGAGTCAAAGAGCGAAAAGAAACCACATCAGCTGCTGTCAATACTGAGCTAGTGCCAGAAACCCCAAGGCTACCACTGTTGCAGAACAACTGCCAAGCACTATAAATCTGAGATTTACTGTGACGCAAAGTTTCCTTAAGAGCTTAATTTCTGAAGCTACTGTATTACTTTTCTCAAAGTGCTGTATTTTTAGGTAAAATCCACTTGAGGGAGTGAGGGTTAAGATATAAGTGTGATTTTGATGAATGAAAGAGCTACACTGTGTGTGGGTTCTTGGCAAGTAGCCATGTCTTTCGGGATCATAGAAATTATTGATGACACAGAACACTCGTATGCCCTTAGCCTCTACAGCTGATTCAACACAGAAAGAAATGCTGTCTAGAGAGGAAAAGTTTTATATTAAACTAATGGAGATTTTGGTGAGAGGGGAGAGGTTATACATTCCTAGCAAATGCTATGTATTTTTAAAGCCTTATGCCAAGTAGTATTCAAATACAATTCTTGCTCTGTGTGTTAGTATTAGGAGTTGAAGGTGCGAAGTTTGTAACATAGAGATGAAACGAGAAGGAAAGCATCTTCCTTTACATTATATTTAATTGCCAAGGGCATACTGCTAAAAGAAAAAACAGAGATTTTGCTGTATTTATTGCATACATTAGCAGAACTTGCTATATATGATCTTCTAAAAAAAAAAGCTTTTCAATTATATTGGTGTTATAAAATAATTACACTGTGTATTTAAACTTCATTACAGGCAAATGGCATAAAAATTGGCCCTCAACATGCTGCTACTAATGCAACACTTGCAGGCAATCAGGGAGGACAACAAGCTGGAGGAGGCTGCTGTTGAGCCTGTTTTTACTTTCTAGCTGCCTGGATGGGGCCTACTAACTTGTTTGTTCACCCTTCATCCCCCCACCCCACCCCTCCCCCCCTGCCCCGCTCGCCTCCACTTCAGTTCAACTGAGACATGAAACTTGTAAGTTGGTTTCCTGTTGCAGAAGACTTTATCCTTCAAATTCTTGTATAACTTTGAATAAATGGTTAATGTTCACTTAAAGACAGATTTTGGAGATTGTATTCATATCTATTTACATTTGATTTCTAGGTCAATTGATGTGATTATTTTTGTTAAATGTTGTCTTGTGCCCTTGACTACGAACTGAATTGTATTAAACACTACAAAGTCATCTGAGTATTTTAATCAGTTTGTGTAGTTAGGTTTCCCAGCTCCTGCGGTTACCTAATGTTTAATATTGTAGAGCTGTCCTCAAGTTTTTTGTCAATTTTCAAGGCTATAAAGAGAAGCGGAAGGACTCTTTTAATTCTGTATTTATCACTTTCTGTATATATAGTTTAATAACCTGCTTGGGTGTACTTGCCAAGCTAGAATTCTTTAATGCATTTGCATAAATTCTATACTACTTAGAGCTTGAAAACTATAGAAGCATTAATAGAAATTGCTTGGACGCTAAATTTTAAGCCTTTTTGACATTGTTAGCATGTTCATCCTCCCCTGTCATTATCCCGAAGTCCAAGAGAAATGCTTAATGTATATTACTAGAGGCTACATATGTGCTATCTATTTTAATGCCAAATGTTTGCTGTTTGTCCACAATTTCCACAGCACCTCTTCAGAAATGGATTAGCTGTTTGCCTTAATGAATACTATAGGTAAAAACAGAGTATGAATGAAAAGTAGAGGAGGAGTTGATAAATTCAAAATGGCACATTATGAAAACATTACTCTTTTCTTAATGTTTTTTTCTTGTTTACCACTTGATTTCTAGGTATATTTTTCATGCAAGGACAGTTTTTCAACTTAAATGTACAGTAGTTGTGTAAAGTTTTCTTTTAGTGACAACTTGTAATCCTAAATATATGGTAAGCATCTTGTCTATTGTGAAGAGGGTGTGAAAATAAAATCTGCCAGTTTGGAAATCTTGATGAAAATCAAAACTAGAAATGCTTTGGTACTTATTATGGTGGTGGTCAGGGGGAGGGGGGGATGTTTTGCCTCAAATGAAAGGGTTGCAACAGTGCAAAACAGAATCCTGTGTTTAAGTGTTTATTTGTTAAAGTACAGAATATTCATGTCACTTTTCCTACAAATGAGGAAACAACTGAGTTTCCATCTCATCCTGTTTAAATAAATCACAGATAAAAGGGTGACACTAATGCTAGGCCATACTTCATGTATCTAAAAAAAAAGGGGGGGGGGGGAGCAGGGCAGGAAATGACTGCAAAACTTTTGTCTTACTGGACCAATACTGACTCAACACAACACTGGGGGACATGGATCCTGATGTCATCCATTCTTATTGTCAGAACTTTAACATTGAAAGTGAATAAACTTCAGCCTGACAGGTGTAACATAGCAGTGGTTCTGAGATTAAATAAACTTTAAAAAATGTGTGGAACCTTTTGTCTGTATCTGGGGCAAGGGAAAACCGATAAGGATTTATGCTAGCTGCCGACTTCAACTCTTTCTTACGCGTTTAGGAGCATTATAAGCAATGCAATATAATTGTTTTCAACTATTTAAATTCTTAAGAGGTTACTTCATTTACATGCTTTCAACTGTTAAATGTTTATTATATTAAGCTTGCATTTACAAAACACACTTACTGTTTCCATTGAAGTTTGAAAATGGTGTTGTGTGACAGTAAAACCATAGGACTGAGGTGCATTGATGCTGAGGGGAAACTGGCTTGTAACTACATGTTCATAAGAAGAAATGAACAAATGAGTACTTGCTTGAATTAACTGCTTGAAGATTTTTTGCAACTGGCAACATTGCAGAACCCAGTTGCTTAAGATGGGAAAAAAGCATGCTCTTTTATAGCAGCCTCGGCTACATTACAAATGGGAGTAAATTTCTGTTAGCCATAAAAATTGCCCCTATTAAGGAAGCAGAGGAGGGGAATTTGTACCCTATCCTGAGAAGAACAAAATGGTGATGATTTACAAAGCTGACAGATGCTCATTTTCTGCAAGCATGGAAGATGTATAGAATTGACTAGGAATCTAGGACTGTTATAGCAAAGAGCCACCAGTACTTTTTTTTGGGGGGGGGGGGGGGGGGGGGGGGGAAGGGGGGAGTGGGTTTAGTTTTAGAG